CCCCAAAACCCCAAAACCCCAAAACCCCAAAACCCCAGACTATGAGATATGTAAAAAAATTGATAATAGCGATTATATTCTTGAATAAAAATAAGATTTAGATGCTGATTTACGTGGATTGTCCTCAAGCCAAATCAGTACAAGATATGTCAAGTTTAATTCATTCCAAAACGTGAGGTAAAAAGAGTTGGACTTTGTGTCCAGAAGGTGTTTCCTTCATTTTTTCAAGATAATACTAATGAGGTCTTCTTTTGGTAAGAGCATGCTCGAACTCTGGTCTTGCTTAAACAGCTTCAAACAAAGCTTTGCAAAGAGGGTAGTCGTCGAATCCAATGGGTTCAAAGATTTCATCATGGAAACATGAGTTTCTGAAGAATTCTAGTCTGGATAGAGGAGCATGGAAATGAATGTCAAGTTAAGTGGGGTTCTCAGTTCCTAGAGCAAAGCTAGAGCCATCCTTGTGATTCTGGACTAGGAAGTCTTCCATCTTTTGTAGCTTTTCTTTGGTGTTCTTGACATCGCTTTCGTCATGTGCCTTTTTCATGAACATTGTGTAGAAAGCTGAAAACAGCTGCTCTGAGAGTGGAATGGCAAGTCTCATGAGTGCTCTCTAAACTGGATCAACTGGAAGGGTGCTGTAGCCCTACTCTGGGAATGCCTCTTCAGCATAGTCCATAAGGATCTTTGACTCAAGTAGCTGGGTGCCATCTGGGAACTCATAAATGGGAACAAGGCCTCCATTTATGGCAAGGTGCCATGGAGTCTTCTTGCCAAGGTCAACCTCACATTTCTAGTACACAGCATTTCTAGCAGCAAATGCGAGTCTAACCTTTTCAACAAATGGGCAGTTGTGGTGCCCGTAAAGTCTTGGGTATTTTTCATTGAGAGCAGGCTTTGGGGTAGTTTCCTCTTCAATGTAGATAGTCTCAAGTCCTTGTTCAACCATGGGGTAAAGATATTAATATTAACTTAATGAATTTAAGAATTCCTTTAAATAAATATTTTCAATTAAATCAAAAATAATATATTCTTTAATGGAATAATTATAAACTTTTAGCTTGACAAGCAGTCTCTATAATGAAAAGCAGACTCCTGAATTCCCCAAGTCTCCTGCCTAGAATTCCATGAATCAGACTTAAAAATCTAGAGTTTACCCCTATCATGCTAGAAAGCTTAAAGAGAGCTTCTCTGACAGACAATCGCAAGATTCCTAGTCTTAATCCTAGAACTAAAATAGCAGCAGCCCAAATGCCACTAAATCTCAGTTTATTAAGCATAGAAATAAGTCAGAACTTGACTAAATTCAGGACAAGTTTTTCAACTTTGGAGGCCAGACTCAGTCTGTGAGGCTGCCCTTTTTGAATAAGTCTCACATATAAAACCCTCTTGAAGTCTCCAATATCATACTGGGTCTTACTCAAACATACTTGAAATCACCCATTAAAAAAAGAGAAGAAGAGGATAGAAGTGAAAAGACTGCAAGTAAGATGTCCAAAGAGCTATCACCTCAGCAAATATTGCAAAATATACATGATCAATTGGGAGGGATGCGCCCCATAGACATTAAGAAAGTGAGGAAGCTATCACCCTATAAGCAGTAGAAATTTTACTATGACAAAGAGCTTATGTTTAATCGTGAGTCTTAAAAGCGAAAAAGGAATTACACTGAGCAATATTACAAGACTCGCACCATAGCAAACAGTGAAAGTTATTTGAATAAGTGTGTGGCCTAAGTTAACGGCGTTAAGCTATTCAAAGAGCAGGACGAGATAGAGTATGATCGCTAGTAAAGCCAAATAAAGAATAAAAAGCAGGAGTTTGCAATCATCAACATGTCGAAGATCCTGGACGTTGAAAATGAAACCGATTACGAGGAGATGATGATATAAAATACCACCTAAGATATCGACGGCAGCACAAGCGCTTAAAACACTACTGTAGACATTCTAGATCACGCCTAATAGTAGCTATAGCAACTTCAATTGTACAATCCTATCAATATTCATAAGTATCATGAAGATGAGTTGAAGATCGAATCAGGAATAGATAAGAGATTTAGATTTGTGTTGGAGTAATAAGCAAGACAGCCTAATCTCAAGGATGTCGAAATATCTAATAGCGAGATTCTTAAGAAAATTAGACAGAGATACTTCCAAAACTATCAAATAGTGCCAATTAACACTACAACTCAGCAATAGATATAGAATGATTTGCTGAAGACATCTATTGATAACTCATTTCTGTCTATCAAACCCACCAAAAATAGAAACAATAATAAAAAGCAGACTAGCTCATTAACTTTAAATACGACATCGAAGGAGTTAGTCCAGTCTAGACTTTATCTGCCCACTAAGTATTCAGTGACGCCTAAGATCAGAACTGCTTCAAATGAAGAGTATACTAAGTTACTTTCAAACTCTAATTTCATCCTGCCACAAATATTCAATCAAGTGCTGTTTAAAAAGGTATGTGAAGACCTCGAAAAATAAAAATAGGTGTTAAAGGAGTAATAAGATAAGAAATAACAGTAACATGATGGAAGTGAAATATAGGATAACCAGAAGAAAGACACTTAAACCTCTCCATTTATTACATAATAAAAGCCAGAGTAAACTTATAAATCAGCTATGAAACAGCCCAGTGAAAATAGATCATCTAACAATGGATCTAACCTTCGCATGAGTCGAACAAATGACAATCGTAAAACAGTAAGCATATCCCCGTTTTACGAATCTACGATTCTTCCAGCACCAATGACTAAGTTCTCACCTTAAAAAGTAGAGCAGTCGCCTAGGTATTTGAAGGTGAGACCATCTATTAACTTAGAAAAAGACTAGGAATACATAAATGATACAATTAAGAAGGGTTAAAAAGTGTGCTTTAGTGGCAAGCGTGGCCCTGTTCAATACAGTGAAATGGCTTTGTACCTAAGTGAGCAGACCAATAATAAGAAAACTAAAAGCATAAAACAAAGAATGGATGAGGAAACCACTCAAATTCTGTAAGAGATATTTAGATGAATTCCCTTTGGAATCAACCAGCATAAATCTTTAATATCTTTTATATTTGCATTTAATATTTGTGAATCCTTTTGATAATTTATAAGCATCCCTTAGGGGTTTTGGGGTTTTGGGGTTTTGGGG